CCCACTGCAGAAATGGCTTGTTCTTATGTTGCCACCCTCCAGACCTCTCATGGAAGAGGCACAAAAACAAAGGCCTCAGATCCATATCACAGTGTATGGATCAGTTCATATGGAGAGAGGCAGTCCTAAAAGTACTGCAGTCCTGAGCAGTTTAAGGGTTTATAGGTCAAAACCATCACTTTGAATTGAGCCTGGAAACTAATTGGCAGCCAGTACAATTGGGTCAGAATTGGCATTATATACTCAAACCATCTTGCCCCAATGTATAGCGCATTGCAGTAATTAAACCTAGAGATTACCAGAAGTTAGTCAACAGAGGTTAGGCTATCCCTGCCCATATAGGGGTGTCATTGGACCACCAGCTAAAGCTGATGGAAGACACTCCAAGCTTCTGAGGCCATCTGAGCCTCAAAACAATAGTTGAGGATCCAGGAGTACCCCCAAGTTACGTACCTGCTCCTTCAGAGGGAGTGTAACCCCATCAAAAGAATCCAGTCTTGAGCCACCTCAGAGCCAGTTGCCTCGGCATAGATTTTGAAGTCCCCCAGAGCCAGCAGTTGGGGAGTCCTCAACACAGCCTCTGAGGCCAGCTCTAAAAATGAGGGGAAGATATTGACTATAGCCCATTTGTTAGTGGCCCAGTATTGAAAGAAACTTTGATTATCAAGGAGTAGAAACAAAACATATGGCATAGTATTCTAATATAAAAGTTGACCTGTTATAAGAGACTCTGGGTGAAATGCAAAAATCACTCTGAATAAGAAGCACAGTTTTATGTGGTACTAGAATAAGAGGACTAATTATGAAAATGTTAAGAGAGGTATTTATTTTGCAGAAGACAAATTTTGGCATCTTTTTTCAGTGAAGGATTTGAAACTAGTGAATAGATTTTTAAAATGTTAACTATAGTATGATACACTGTCTTGATTCAAAAGATGAAGGAATTACTGATTATATTCTATTTAAATAAGAATTTTTGTTATTTCAATAAATATTTAAATTCTAAGGACATTGCAATGTACAGTGGACCCTCCAGATACGAATTAAATTCATTCTGGGGGTCTGCCCGCAACCCAACAAGTCCGTAGGCAGAGGTGTTGCTTCTGCGCATGCGTGGGATGCACAGAGTACTTTTGCGCATGCGCACGTGATGAAACCCGGAAGTATACACATCTGGGTTTGCTGTGTTCATAACCCAAAAGTTACGTATCCAGAGCGGTACATAACTAGAGGGTCCACTGTATACTTAAGATTTGTTTTCAATTGTAATTTCCCCCTTTTTATATCTTAACTTTTTAAAAATTGAGGAAAATAACTTTACCTTCCTTTAAATTTTTTCCCACACTCAGTAAATGATGGTGCAGATAGAAATATTTGAAATTCAATAATCATACCCTTCAAACGTCTTCTTTTCTAGATCAAACATATGTATCCAGTCTGCTTTGATTGTCTTTTAAGTTTTCTTGATTGTGTAGCAGATGATCTTAAGTATTTCTAGCCAACTATTGAACTGTTTATTTATATCTAATTGGGATTCGTTTTGGGTGGTGTCTAAACAAGGGGAATATTTGCCTTACAGAAAACACAAGTTTTCTAAATCAGAGCTCTGCATGATTCCTCAACCCTAGTGCCTTGGGGTCTGTATCTACCTTCTTGCTATCTCCATCCTTGCCCTTCTCCAGGCGGCTGCTGCTGCTGCTGCTTGGTGAGGTGGATATCCATGCTGTATGCAGAGTGTGTTTTCCCAACGACCATTGCAGGACTCCAAGGGATTTAGTCGTGAGGGGGGAGGGAGAGATGTTAAACAGGCTTTTCCCTAATGAGCTGTGACGCCAGCTGGAGAGGGGGAGAATATGGCTTTTCTCTCCTGTCCAGTGTTCTGTGACTGTATAGAGGGGGTGGAGGAGGAACTGTGTGTCTCCATTTTGTACCTCCTCCCACCGGTCCAGTACACACACTGTGCTGATTTGCTGCCTCCTCCGTTTCCTTTTTGCTCTGTCCCCAATGCATTTTGGCAAGGTTCAGATTTCTGTGCTCACAGCTCAATGCTCAAGGAGAAAAGAGAAAAACAAAGGACTGAGGGGGATGTGGAGGGAGAGTCACTTACTGCCCTATCTCAAGACTCTGCACTGTGCAGTAGAGCTGGTGAGAATCCTGCTCCTTTCTTCATTTGCCAGCAAATCTCTGAAAATTAATGGTTGCTATAAGTGGTTTTATCATCTGCTTTAAACACTCATGCTAGCTACTGTCCCACATTGGCCTTCATCATTAGGGCTTGGAAGTTTAAATATTATATTTATTTTCCTAAAAACTCATTTCTTCAACATATGCTTTTATCAATAGAAATTAATCCAACAAAGATATTATCTAATTTCCCATATTAAGAGTGTATGTGAGTTATGTACAGCAGAAACTGTAAGTTTGATTCTTTGGATATGTAATAGAAGAGCGCTCACACCCATACATACTACTCCAAATTGTTCTTTAACCCAAGCATTGTTTTCCATGTTCAAAAAGATGTTTGAATTGATACAAGTGATGCTTAAAAGGAAAAAGAAATTGGCATATTCAAAGAACTAAGAGGGACAATAACCAAATAACAAAGATCCATATATTAAAAATAGTATAGTGCTTTGAGCTCCCTGGAGGAAAGGAAGACTATAAATGAAATAAATAAATAAATTTTAAGAGTACAGTCATACCTCATGTTATGTTTGCTTCACGTTACGTTATTTCAGGTTATGTCCTGCGGTGACCCAGAAGTACCGGAAAGGGTTACTTCCGAGTTTTGCCACTCATGCATGCGCAGAAGCACAAAATGATGTCACATGCATGCACAGAAACGCCAAATCGCAACCCGCGTGTGCGCAAGATGCGCTGCTGCGGGTTGCGTTCTTTTCATGTTGCGAATGGGCCTCCGGAACAAATCTAGTTCGTAACCAGAGGTACCACTGTATTAATTAAACATGAAAAGGTTTTTGGTATTTGTGTACTGTGTATGCTAACTCTTTGAATTGTATCTGGAAAGACCTACTCACAGACCCATAATCATTTATGCTTATGTGGATATATCCCAATACTTGCTGGCTGCCCAAAATGCACCAGGAAATAAGAGCATAATGAAATGGACCAGGCTGTACCCTGTGCCATATTTAATGTGCATACCTAAGATCATGCAATGAAGATTAACAGTAAACTAGCACATGTTAATTTATCTTTCGTAGAAGCAGAGGGCTCCTCTGAGGCTTCAGTCTATGCAATTTCAAGAACATTTTTACAGACTTTACAATGGACTAGAAACTTGTGCTTTTTAAAAATGAGATCCCCATGAGACTGTATAATGTGCTTAGTGCTACATTCATCAAGTTTTATTTGCTGCTCTACTAAAGGTAAAGGTACCCCTGCCCGTACGGGCCAGTCTTGCCAGACTCTAGGGTTGTGCGCTCATCTCACTCTATAGGCCGGGAGCCAGCGCTGTCCGCAGACACTTCCGGGTCACGTGGCCAGCGTGACAAGCTGCATCTGGCGAGGCAGCGCAGCACACGGAACGCCGTTTACCTTCCCGCTGGTAAGCGGTCCCTATTTATCTACTTGCACCCGGAGGTGCTTTCGAACTGCTAGGTTGGCAGGCGCTGGGACCGATCGCCGGGAGCGCACCCCGCTGCGGGGATTCGAACTGCCGACCATGCGATCGGCAAGTCCTAGGTGCTGAGGTTTTACCCACAGCGCCACCCGCCACCTGCTCTACTAGGAGTGCCCTAATTCCCGTTTCCCAAAGCTGATTCAGGAGGATACCATAGTTGATGCTATCAAAAGCCAACGAGTTCAATAAGCAAGAGCAAGGTTGCACTTCCCATGTCCTGCACTCTGCGGAGTTCATCCATTAGGGCAACAAGGGCCAACTCAGTTCCATGCCAAGGCCTGAACCTAGATTGGAATGGATCTAAACAATCTGTATCCTCCAATAATGCTTGTACTGCCCTACCATGGTTCTTTCCACCACCTTCCCCCAAAAGCTGTTTTTGTACTCTGGCCTCAACCAGTCAGCCCTGCTCTGCTAGATTTAAAAAGCCAGAAGGGATAGAGGTCAAGGGGCACATAGCCGGATGCACTATTGCCACCACGTTGTCCACACCAGCTGATTGTATAAGGTGAAACTGATCCCACAGAACATCTTCAAGATTGGCAGTGGATACTTCAGCTGGAGCTGCGACAAGTACAGAGACATGATCACTTCAAAACTGAGCAACTTTACCCTCAAAATGCATATCCAGTTGGTCACACTGGGAGTCTGTAATCTCTGGAACATCCAAAATAACTCAATCAGCTGGCTACCAGAGGATGCTGTGCTAGCTGCAGAATGAGCCTTTTTTGCAGCCCACAGTGCCACATGGTAGGCGTGATTCCCCCCCCCCCAAAAAAAAGAACCTTCATTGATTACATCAAGGATGTGCCCTGCCTGGTGTGTCAGGAGTGATGGCCATGAAGTTTTGAGCGATTTAACCTTTGCTTACAGGTGTTTTGTTTGTTTGTTTGTTTGTTTTGCAGTGAATTTAGACAGCTAAAGATCAGGAAAGGGAAACAGATATAGGCATGCCTAGATAATAATGCAAATTATTAATCACCCCCCCCCACCCCAGTGTTAGCTGCGGGGGGGGGGGTTGCCAAAGTATGTTGCACATGTTATTTTAGACTCAGCTGGAAGCCATTTTTCATTCCTAGCTCAACAATTGCCTTACTCTTGCTATCTTTGGCCATAGTGTCAGTTTCTGTGTGTAAATCAATAATAATAACTTCATACCATTTGTTTCAGGACAGTGAAATACAGATTATAAAGCAGTTAGCATGTTGGAAATACCATACAAATGATAACAATGCAAATTATATTTGTTCTGCTAGAGTTCACTGTGGGTAAGATCACATGTTGTCAATGCTCCCACCACCAGTCTGGAAGGAAAGGATTTTGGAGAAGTGTTTTTAAATGTTCTTTCTCTCATTAGGAACTTGAAGCAGCTCTTTACAGTGATGATGTGGAGTTCATCAGTGATCTGATTGCCTGTCTTCTTCAGGGTTGTTACCAGCGCAGTGACATTACGTGAGTAGTCTCATTCCATGGTTTAAATGTTTTTTTGAAATAAAGAGAATTAACCCAGTTGAGGTGTGATACAACTTCTGTGGAGTGCTGAAGAGATAGATGCCAGACCTGAGTCCTGAATAAATGTCAAATGAATTCTAACAGCTTTCTATTCTAAAGTGGCTGTAGGATTACTATTTTATGCATAGCCCATCTATCATACTCGGATTCATAATTTATGCCTCAAATATTTGTATGTTGTTAGTATGATTGGTTAAATGTGGACCTCTCATTTGATCCTGCATAAAAACCTGCATGAGAAAATCCAAGGGCTGTTACTGGAGCACTGTGCAAGTTCCATTAAAACAAACAGAGATTGTGAAACATAGGCACTTAGGATGATCTAAAGCAGTAGCTCCCAAACTCCCCCCCTTCACAGACTATTTGAAAATTGCTGAGGGTCTTAGTGGACAACTTTATTATTATCATTACCATTTGTGGATTCCACAGAATTCAAATTGCAATGCAATTAAAAAAAAACACAATATAAGAAATAAAAGAAGCATTTAAAATCAATTAAAATCAATATGAATATTTAATACAAAGCATATGCCATCTCCTGTCTTCAACCACAATTTCGTAGACATGCATGCACCACCTAAATGATGCTTGAGGACAACTGGTGGTCCAGACAGCACAGCATTCACACTGATCTGTGATTCCTGATTCCTGATTTTCTTCTTCACTTTGCTTCCCTTTTAGAAAGACTTTAGAGATGTGTTAAATGAGTAAAGTAAAAGTAAAATGTCCCCCCTTTAATATAATAGTACACTGATGGCCTTTGTGTACATGATAAAATGTTCCCATTCGATGGTTACTTGTAACTATTCTAGAATGCAGTGAAATTTTGCAGTGTTATACAGAACAGACAGGGTGGCCCGCCCATGAGGCAAAGTGAAGCCACCTTGGGCAGCGAAATGAGACAGGCCACCGCTGTATACAGAGGTGCGATGTTTGGGAAGGTCCAAAGAGAGCTGTTGCCAGTCAGTGTATACAGTACTGAACTAGATGGGCTAATAATCTGACTCAGTGCATAAGTCAATTCCTTATGCTCCTGTGTTCTTCCTAGGTAAGCCTAGCAGACACCACTTCTTGTGGCTTTAATAATGTAATTGTATAGGACCCTTAGTGCATTTGCTGATAGCCTACCTGCTTCTAGTAGATGGAATGCATTTCATTACGATGTCCGGTTATGCAACATGGGACAGAAATTGAGCACTAAATGGAATTGGTAATAACCGTGATGATGGGCATTTTACTTGGTCGTGGGGTTTAGGAAAAGAAAATAACAGTTCATTCAGAACATTCAAACCCCAGAGTTCTCAGCAATTTCCATTCAAGGATTTGTTGTTATTCTCATATGTGTGGGACCAGGGCTCTATATTCTAAGTCACACTCCCCTTTGAATGGCAATTTCTGGCAGAAATTGGGAGTATAAAGGGGGCTCAATCAAGAAGATTGCACTAAAGACTTTAAGCCAAGGCTGTGTGAGCTCTCATCAACATGGCAGTGTCTTAACTGTGTCTGCTTTCCCTGCGTAAATACTGTCTGGCCGTCTGAGAATGGTTTAATTTTTATATAGCGATTTACATCTATAACATGTGCCTCATTATTTATTTATATTTTCTTGCACAGCATGTAAAAATTGTTGACTGGGCTGGAACTGCTTGGCTATTGTTTTCTGTATGCAGCATGATTAAAGTACTTCTGCTAATTATAATGTACTCTAAAGTAATTTTAGAAATGGAGGCCTAGCTGAGAACCATTCTGGTGCACAATTTAAATGTACTTTGGGTTAATTTGCTTATTTGTCTTGAAGCGAAAACATGTGTCAAGTCTGTGCCACATGGCATTGGGAGCCTTCCGATTTTGGCTTTAAAATTGTCCTGTTTTGTTATACAGAGAAAGAAAGAGAGAGTGTATGTGTATGTGTATGTGTGAGGGTGATTAAAACAGTCTTTTTAATGGGTATACCGCAAGGCAACTGTATTTTATAATCTAAAACAACTTTTTCTTCCAGTAGCGTTTTGAGGCGTCTGAAAAGATTACTGCAGCATGTGCCTTAGATATGTCCAGTACCTAGTGGTTAGAAGTGAAATGCCTACTTATCCTGTCTCTGTTTAAAAATGTTCTACTATTGTTCAACTTCTGTTCTGTTTAATGCAAACAGAAAAGCTCCATACTCACGGAGACTAATATGACAATACGATGTCACAGATATGTGTGACTTTCCTTGCTTTGCCTAGTAGTAGGGCTCAATTAAAGATTTCAGCAGGCACTATCCTGGCTGCTTGGTTTGGCCAAAGTTGTAAAAACTTTATGAATGAGAGAGAGGGAGGAGTAACTGTTTTTATCAATAATTTTATTGTTTTATCCTTTTTATCCTATTGACATCAGGCACTGGACCCTTTTCAGTTCCTGCTTAAAAACTTATTTAGGCACGCCTATCCAGGGGTCCCTTTACCTTATCCAGACACATAGATTTTGATATGTTTTAATCTCTTTTTAGTATACTGTTCCTTTTAATTATCTTTTAATGTTTTAATTACTTGTTTTTAACTTTTATTCATAATTTTAATATTTCTTGTAAACTACATAGAGGTTTTATGACATTCAAATGGTATATAAATTTTGTTAGACGGTGGGCTGACTGATTGAATGGGTTGATAGATAGATATTGGCAGGATATAGTTAATATAGTGAGGCCAATGTAATGCATCCTGTCTCTGGGGGGCAAGCAGTCCTTTCTTCTTCATGGTCTCTATGCTGGCACATTTATGAGATCTGCTCCTGGGTAGAGCAGCATTTCAGAGTCTTCTAGAATTAAGAAACTGCTCTGAAGGTGTACTACTCCCCTCAAGCGGGGAGCCCATGTACTAGGCACATGCCTAGAGAAGAGGGTAACCACCTTCATGCCCACTTCTCTTTCAGACTCCACCTCAGTAGCATTGTATGCTCAACTTTCCCAACCAAGTGGGCTGCAAGAGTACTTTGACATGAAAGCTGTGGGCCGCACACTTCATTATTGCCGGTGTGGGGGTGGATGAGGCCAAAATTTGATGCCCCCTCCATTCCTCATGCTGCCTTCCCAAAGTCAGCTAAGCGAGGCGCGGGGCTTTGGGAAGGAGACACGAAGTTCTGGAAGGATACTAGAGCCCTTGTAACTCCTCCTCCAAGCTGCAAAAGCGCTAACTAGTCTTAGCCAAGGAGGCAAGAGGACTCTAGGGCCCTGGCAGAACCCTCATCCTTCCTTCCCAAAGCTCAGCACCTCACTTACTGGCTATGGGAAGGCAGTGCAAGGGCTGAGGGGGCATCAAATGTTGCTGAAGGCAGCCAAAAAAGGCCTCGAGGGTCATATGCAGGCCTTGGGCTGCGTTTTGGAGCACCCTGCTCTAGAACTTAAGATATTTGTCAGGCCCTCTACTTGTAATAGTGTTTTTCTTAGGGTGAATGTAGTGTGAGAGTATCATTGTGGCTGAGAAGTAAAACAGTTCCCTATTGTCAGATACTACTGCTGTGGGTGTGGAAAGCAACCCCATATAATCAAGGCCTCTTCTGGCTGTGTGCTTTAGCAATGACCTTGCAGCTCTTCCTCCTTTCCAGTCTCCTCCTTTTAGGTAGCAGTGAAACTAGCCTGCTTCAGCTGTCATCTCTAGGTTAAGTGGCTGCATTTGCTTCTGTCAAGCTCGTACATGTGTCTGCGATGTGATCTGTTATTAGATGAGACGGCTCCCATCGGCTCTCCATTCCCCCAGCTTCCCAAGGGATTTTGTGCTGTTTCAACTTTCTTCCAATTCTATCTGTGGGAGTGCTGTTGGAGTCCTTGTATCAACAGCTAACTTGCTTGGCTGTGAGATTTTAGTTACTAAAGTCTATTTGAGAATAGATGGGGGGGGATATTTTTAAGTGTGCCTCTTACCTTGCTAACTGAATAGTTCTTAGAATAATAGCATTGTAGAGTTGGAAGAGACCCTGAGGGCCATCTAGTCCAACCCCCTGCAATGCAGGAATCTCAGTTAAAGCATCTATTCTTGGCTTAAACTATCTAGCACCTTCCCTTACTTAAGGATTACTTCTCACAAACTATACATGCACTCTCATAAAATATATGTTTGGTGTCTGAAACCTGTGAGATGTGACTGTGAACATATCTGCCCCCTGCTTGAATATGCATGGAAGGAAAAAGCACACTTATAGTACAATATATGTATATTTTGTACTTGAATGTAGGATTCATACCTGGGTTGTAAGAAATGCCCCCGAGTGGACTATTTAAGAGCTTTTTACTTTTCATTTGCCACTAGATTGCACAACACTTCCTAAGTTCATTGCTAGAACTGGTTTTGCTCAGAAAATTAATTTCAAATCAAGCATTGCAGTGAAACAGATGGGACTTAGGCAAAGGCTAAATTCTCTTCCTAACCTCAGATTTTTTGCCCCAATTATACAACTTCATATCTGAGAAAATCCAACCAAGTTATGATGAAGTGACTGAAAAAAATCACAACGATTTTATGTGAAATTCTTGTTTTTTGTGTTGCATTTAGTGCTGATAACTTACAACTTACTCACAAGGCTTTTGTCCCTACCCAACATTTAAGTCAGGCTTGGGAATCACACATAAGAATAATCCTGCTTGATCAGACAAAAAGTCATTCTAGTACAGCACCCTGTTTCCAAAAATGGCAAGCCAGCTGCCTCTAGGAGGCCCACAAGCTTGCTGTTGCTTAGCATCTTTTGTTTTTTTCCTTTTTTCTTTTAATGAAAACACATTAATTTAGGACAAATCCTCTTCAGAAGGCAACTTACAATAAAAATGCTAAAAGCAACTTGATATTTCAAGATACAGGCATCCCCCCACTTGCGCGCAATAGACTCATCCATGACTGTGTATACGTGCAGCACCAAGACATAATCAAATAATTTATCGTTTTTTTTCGCTCTATAACACGCTCCCAACC